AGACTAAGGGCTTGCTCAAGGCTTATTCCAACCCTAATTATAGGACGAGGACCGAGAGGAGGAAAGCAGATTGAACGAACAAACACCAAAGAGCCTCATGCAAGTCCCATGAAAAAAGATGTCTTGGCTGCTACAGTTTTTGTGGCTTTGGAAATTTACATCTTGTCTGACTTGGGGCGTAAGCCCTGAAGTTTTGTAATAAGACATGCTGTTTTTAAATTGTAGTCACTCTAAATAACTCCTATCGCTGAGAAGCCAGACACTAAACCATCTGCGACATCTGCAAGCTGGAATCAAAAGCCAACCACCACGACCCATTCCAAGTCCATTTAGAGAACTGAGTCTGTGGGAAGATAAACTTTCCAGAGCAAAGACACACACTATGGTCAACCCTGGACTTTTCAGTATCACCAGACAGCAGCTGGAAGTGAGGAAGATGCCAAGCCAATCGCTCTGAGAGGAACGCCTCTCTTGACTAACAAACCACTAAGAAAACATGGCTTCTCTTGCCTACTTTTTAAGTGAAGACAGAGTGCAATAAATCAGAAACCACTTTTTTAAAAAACGCTGTTAATTCTAGGAAGTGGCACTTACGGGGTAACGAATGCATTCTTGCTTAGTCTTGTGGAACACTGATGTTGCAAGGTCAGTATGGAGGGGCTGCTATAAAAATCCTTTCCTCAAACTCTTGAGCACTGCTGGTGGGAAGGTAAAAAGGCATAGCCACTGTGGAAAACAGTAAGGCAGTTCCTCAAAAAAACGAAAAACAGAATTGCCATAGGATCCAGCAATTCTATTTCTGAGTATATACCCCAGAGAATCTTGAGTCTTGAGGAGATACGTGCATACTCATGCTTACAGAAGCATTATTCACAACAGCCAGACCCTAGGAGCAACCCATGTGTCAATTAACAGTTGAGTGGATAAACAAAATGTGGAACATACACACAACAGAATATTATTCAGCCTTGAAGAAAAAGGAAATCCGATACATGCTACAACATGGATGAACCATGAGGAGATTATGTTAAGTGAAATAAACCAGTCACAAAAGGACAAATATTGTATAATTCCACTTAGGTGAGGGAGCTAGAGTAGTCAAATTCATAAAGAGAGATAAAGTAGAATGGTAGTTGCCAAGGGCTGGGGTGGCAGAAGCAGGAATGAGAAATCGTTTAATGAGTAGAAAGTTTCAGTTTTGCAAGATGAAGAAACGGTCTGTGGATGAATGATGGTGACGGTCATGAAGAGTATGATGCACTTAATGTCACTGAACTGTCCACTTAAAAACGGGAAAGTCTGTGTTACGGATATTTACCATGATTCTAAAAGATCATTAAACCTTGCCACCAATTTTCACAGCAAATTCTTCAATCTTCTCTACCATATTTTAAAACTCTGGGACTACCTCTATGGTATCTGTTCCCTAATGCAAATAAAAAACAAAATAAATGAACACATGGCATAGGAGCATAATGAAATACTCTGAGTCCACAAATGCTCGTGCTGTGATTTTTTTTATGCCAGGTTTTCTACAAAAATTTGTTTTATGATGCTTTGGAAAACAAAAATGAAAGAAAGAAAGAAAGAGAGGAAGGGAGGAAGGGAGGAAGGGAGAAAGGAAGGAAGGAAGGAAGGAAGGAAGGAAGGAGGGAAAGAAAGAAAGAAAGAAAGAAAGAAAGAAAGAAAGAAAGAAAGAAAGAAAGAAAGAAAGAAAGAAAGAAAAGAAAGAAAGAAAGAAAGAAAGAAAGAAAGAAAGAAAAGATCCAATTAGCCAGTGCCCCATTCACCCACAGTTCAACAGTCATTAATATCAAGGAATTATACTTTAATGGCTCTCAGTTGTGCAAAGCTCATAGGTTATAAGAGTAAGTTTCATTTCTTTTTTTTAAAGAGCTGTTTCTTCTCTTAATATTTTATTTATTTATTATTGTATTATTTAATTATTTTATTTGGGGAGGGGGAAGGAAATTAGGCTTATTTATTTTTAGAGGCGGTACTGGGGATTGAACCCAGGACCTCATGCATGCTAAGCATGCGCTTTACAACTTCAGCTATACCCTCCCAACTAAGTTTCATTTCTATAAGAGAAAAATATCATTGCTAAGACTTTCTGGCAACTAGGACTGTCTTACTGGGAAAAAGAACCCAGGAACAAAGCTGTGAAAGCACTTCCTATCTTTATACTAATTTAAAATTCACAAAGCAATTTCAAATACGTGATTTTATCTGAACCGCAAAGCCACTCCATAAGGTAGGTTTTACTATCGCCAGTTCTGAGGAGGAAGACAACACAGAGTTTGGGTCATCTGATCAAAATCACCTTGCTACTTAGTGGCTGGAACCAGGGTCTTACAGGTTCAAATCCATTCTTGTATTTCCCTAAACCTTGAATTTAGCTGTCTGGTCAAAGGCTTTATAGATCTGGGATCTGTCCCCAAACGACCACTCCCTGCGTGGGGGCTGTGGGCCATGGGGAGGAAGGCGGAGCAGGAACAGCACCGTCACAGCCGCTCTAAGGCCTTACTTCCTCACTCATAAAGAGAGAGATTACCTGACATACCCACCAATCTGTACAATTTGTGTGATCGAAGGAAATTATACGTAAAACATTTTAAAAGCATAAAATAAAATGTTAAGTCATAAAAGGCATAGTTATCAGGAGACTAAGGTTCCATGATTCTTATCATCAGGAAGGCTGAGTGTGGGAGGCAAGCACGTATGCAAAACCAACCAACCAGCCAGCCAACACACCTGACCCGCGTCCACCATGGGCTGGAGGCAGTGACACACTGCTTCCTTTAGGGGGCAGGAGAGAAATCTCCAGCCAGCCAAGGTCCCAGAGACACTAAACTCAGCCCTTGCCTCATTGGGCATTTCAAGACGCTAAGGAAGGATGTAGGGGCCTTGAATAAAGGAGCTATATAATTGGACGTGCTATAGGCTGAGTGTTAAATAAAATAATCAAAGACACAGCGGTAACCTGCCATAATTAGCCCAAGTTCTGGAGAGCATCATCAAAGGAGGGAGCTGAAGGCTCTGCTGAGCCAAGCTACTACTCTCATCCCAGGGTCTGGCAGCCTCCTGATGCCGTGGGCTGTGCCTTTGTTAATGCATCCTGAAAGGGTGGGTAGGAAGCCCCTGGGGCTGGGGGTTGACAGAGGCACAGACGGAAGGCTATGGAGCCAGTAGTTTGGTGTCTGGTATCTGGGGACAGAAATGGAGGGTAATGGGACTGCCCAAAGCCTTTCAGCCTCAGGTTTTATTTATTTATCTAATCTGCAAATACTCACTGTTTGCCAGCTATGCCTGGCAGAGTTCTCGGCACTGGCGGCACAGGGGCAAATAAGGCAGACAAGGTCCCTCCCTCAGGACACTGTCATTCGGGTCGGGAAAGAGAGGCAATGAACAAGTGAAAATGGACAATGTCATGACTAAATGCTATGAAGGAAAAAGCCAGGGGGAGTGACTGAGAGTGCCTGTGGGACCATGTTGGGCCTCTCTGACATGGCCCATTTAAGCTGAGACCCAAATGTCGAATGACAAGAAGGAAGAATTTTCCAGGCAGAGGCCCAGAAAGTGTAAAGGCCCTGAGGTGGGAACAAGCTTAGCCCATTGGAGGAAAGACTGAAGGGAAGGATGCTATGAGCTCAGGTTAGAGGGGCAGCCAAGGGCCACACCAGTCAGGGCCTTGCCAGTATGGTAAGAAAGAAGCCTGGGTTTCATGCTCAGTGATTTGAGAAGTCCACACTGGAGTGCAAAGGACTGACACGGCTGATACATGCTTTCATCCTCCGGCTTGTGCCAGGAGGCCACCCTTCCAGCTTCTTGCAGCTCATGAGCTACCAGCGTAAGAGCAAGGCAAGGACCGAAAGGAATGTCAAAGGGAGAATGCCTCAATAATCCTCTTCCTTGTCTGATTCTATGACTGCTACAAAAGGGAGGGAACAGAGGCCAGTGGGCCCCAACTTGAGTTTGCAGCTCATCCTTTCTAGCCTTCAGCGTGAAACCAGCCCCGCCTAGGCACTGTCAGGCACACCCAAAGGACACAACGGAGAAAAGGACCTCTATCTGATACCTTTCTTCTCTTTTCTTTACCTACCCTATACTGAATCATTCCTTAATGATTTTAGACATTTTTGACCCACCTCCAGGTCCAGCAAGCTATAAAGTTACACAATGCTACCTGATTAAGGCAAATTTTTGCTTCCTCTTGGAAGGGTCAACAGACGACCTAAAGGAACAAAAACCATCTTGGTAACCTAGCTGCGGTCTGTCTCAGTAAGGAGAGGACACGATCATCACAATCACTTCCAATCTTGAGGCAATCAAACCCATAAACCGCTTTAACATTTTGGGAGAGAAGAAAAACCAAGCAGATTCTTTTAGTTTAAGACTAAGAAATTGGCAGGAGTAAGAATTGGAAAAAGGAAAAAAAACTATCAGAAGCAAAATGACTGTCAGCTGTTTTGAAGGAGCTGGCTCTATTTGCTTCTTCAAAGAGACTGATCAGGAAGAGAAAGGGCAGCGTCTGTCTGTTCCTCGCGCTGTGCTCCCCTCGCCCCGAAAGGATGGGGAGGGGGGCAGGAAGAGAAATCGCTACCATTCACGAAACCCAAAAGGAAAGCATCCGATTATTGTTTCAAAAGCTGTGTCAGTCAGACCACACTAACCATTTCTTTCTTTTTTCTTTCCCACTTCTTACTTTTTTAATTTGCTTACTTAAAAATCAGCACATGGCAGACCTCAGGGGAGATGAGGACTCATGCAGTCCTACTTACTTCAGTGATGCAGCGCCAAGCCCAGACAGTGGAAGGCAGTGGAACCCAGGGCTCCTGACTCACATTCCATGTCACATTTTATTGTGTATTTCTATCGTACAAAAATCCAAGCACATTATAGCAAAATAGGAACAGGAAGTCACTCAAAAGCCAATTACTATACTAAACTATATAGGTCCTGGGATGTAACTTAACTTCAGATCAGTTTTATTTACCTACCTGGTGCCTCAGGAACTTGAAGAGGAATGAAAGGATCAGATACGCTTAGAAGAGGAAGGCTAGAATCCACAGTCTGCCCACCCTTCCTTTTTTCAGCTGGAGTCGGTTGGAGGAGAAGGAAGGGTCAAGGAGAGGAAAAAAGAGAAAAGCAGAAAACATCAAGTAAATCGAGATGTATTTACCCTCTGCTAACCCAACTCAAGTTATAGAGTAAGTCAAAACTTATAGGCCAAATATAGAGGGATGATTGGATACAATCCAATGTAACAGCAAAGTATGCCTGAGATACATAATCTGGTCCTTGCAACATACTCTGAGATGCAATTAATGATAAAACCAGGATACTCATTCACTTGAAATTCCACTTCTTCCTTGGATACTGCCATCCACAGTGATCTCTCACAATTCCTCTAGCAATTACTATCCTTAGCACACGTTTTGGTAATGTAAACAAACTTTGTCTATTTTGTAACTGAGACGATATGCATAGGTACTTCCTGTGTAACCCACTACCCTCTTGAGGTCCTTTAGGGACTGAGTCCTAGTCTATCACCAAGTGTCTAATGCAGTGCAAGGCAGGCAGACAGAGGCAGAAATAGATTTCTTGCCTATTGCAAGTTTAGACAAGCCCTAACGTCAGGACTATATCTACCATATTACTGGCATTCATCTTGTATTTGGCAAACTTACAGAAATCTACACACCATATAGAGTATCAGAGCTTGAAGGAATCTCAGGATTTTCTAGAACAATTTTCTTATTTTCCAGAAAAGGAAATGAAGCCCAGAAGTTAAGAGACTAGTCAGAGGTCCAGCAGCAGTCCCAGGATCAACACCCAGGTCTCCCGCTTCCTATTTTACCATTCTTTACCTTGCATTTTAATATTCAGTTTGTTCCTGAATTAAAATCTAATTTAGTCTTTCATAAAGAAGCTTTAAAAAAAAACTTATTTTCAAACAATCATAGAATCATAGAAAGCTGCAGTACAAAGAGCCCTGTGAGCCCTTCACCCAGCCTCCCCCAGTGGTGAGTCCTTACACAGCTGTAGCCCGATGTCCCTGACACTGCTGCAGTTCTGCCAGCGAAACTCTATTCAGTTTCTACCAGTCTTCACGCGTACTCATTTGCTTGTGTGTGTGTAGTTCCTTGCAATTCAATGTTATGTACAAAGTAGCCCAAGCACCACAACAATGACACACAACTATTCCACAAACAAAAGAACGCCTCTCTACTTGTACTATTTTATAGTCACATCCATTCCTACTCCTGTCCTGGTCTCTGTAATTCTGTCATTTCGAGAATATCATTAAAGTGGGCATTTAACTAAGCTTCTTTAATGGTAGATGAAGGAAGAGAAGAGTAAAATCAAGTTCTTAAGTCTCCGAAATATTTTAAAATGAGACAGAATGAAATACATTAAAAGAAAAAGAATGAATTACACAAATTACAATTCATTTTTGAAAAACTACGTATGCAGAAATAAACCTATGACGTTAAATATTGTAAAATGTTAGCGATGCTTTCCTCTTAGAGTGGGGTCATGAGTTTTTTTAATCTTGCTTCTTTAGGATTTTAGTCATTTTTTCAAAATTTTCACAAATGAATGTATATAAAATCAGCAGAAAAATATTTAAAATGAAGAAGCAAATGTCAAGTTTGAATTGTCTGCCTATTTCTCCTCCAATGTATAGAGGACATAGTTTTTGCAGCTTTTACCTTAAAAATATGAACAACAGCCCTTGGGCCATCCTCCCCAGCTCATTACCACATTTCCTGCTTACTTCCTCCCTTGGCTGGTTAGAACATTTAAAATCAGTGAAGATTTTAAGTTTGATTAGAAAACTTGCAGCAAATGGTGCCACCCTGAAATTCGTACAAAAGAGGACACACTAACTTCTGGGATTTAGATATGACTTTCTTTCATTTGTAAAGAATGAGGTATCATAGAAAAAAAACTCACACTACTAATATGAATGACAGGAAAATACGCAGATGTTCACAGAAAAATACTGAATAAAAAGAGGAAAATGTGAAGATGTTTTGTAATGTTTAAGAGCTCAGTGTCACTGATGGATTTCTGAGATGTGGTGACGACTACAGCTTCTGTACTGAGCCACCAGGTACAAATCTCTCTTCTGTTACTCTCCAGCTCTGACCCTAAGCAGGTCACTTAGCCTCTCGTGGGCTGCTGTGAAGGATCACCTGAGAAAAGGCGCATAAAAGCGCTTACCCAGGGGTCTGAGCATGCTGCATGTACTCCATATGCTGTTATCGCTGTTACAACTTTACTCAAATTTATATTTTTTAATGGTTGAGCCTGTAAGGTCCTTAAAAAAATAATTGCGATTGTAGCCTTCAAAGTGAGTATAAAGGGCAAAAATAAAAACAAAAAACAACTCTTTAAAAAGCAGTTCAAACAGACAAAAAACCCACAAAACATAACCATGGGTGATAAGCAAGAATTAGGCACTAAAACTGGGAGTGGATGGAAAATGATTAGAAAGCTTTGTCATTAACACTGAGGAGTCCAAGCTCCAATCCTTTGGCAAAAAGCAACCCCTCTCATTCATTCAACAAATCTGGACTGAGCCAAACACTGAACTAAATGCTGGGATTTAGCAGCAAAGACCCTCCTAGAGCTTATTCCATGACCCTCTTTCCAGGGAAACTACATCCGACCCAGCTCCATAAATGGTCAACATTGTGATGTTTTAGCTCAGGGACAGTAGCCAATGCTTTACACATTTGGTATATCCAGTCAATGACATGGCATATCAAACTGCAAGCACTTCAAATCAGAACAAAATACCAAGAAATTTAAAAATGACATAGACTGGACAACAAAGCTAAAAATGAGAAATAACACAGAAATTTTTAACTACTCAATATTAAAAAGCACACCTTCCAAATGACTCCAACGCCTATTCCAAAATACTAACAAAAATGAGAGCATCATATGAAGACTTACGGGATATGGTTAAAACTTCAGTTTTCTCTTACAAGGGAAACACACACCTATTAAAATGCACTCTCAATAACAGTGTAATCCTCAAAGGTTGGGGTAGGGTGGGCAATTGGAGGAAGAAGGAGAAAAGAGAATATTGGGATATTTGCGAAAAAAGGTCTTCCTGGAGATTATAATTAGCCTCCCTCCCTGCTCTCATGCTGGTTGAAAGTCACTGTTACACTGAGAGAAAAATTCTAAATACTTTCACTATTTTTAAAAAGAATTTTTAAAAAATTTACTAGGCATTCTTTTTAATATCAATAAAGTGAACCTAAGAAAAACAAGGAACTAATCAAAAAGATAAAAGCAAAAGTTGAAGAATCAGCAGACAGAAAAACAGTAGATTTTATGGAGTTGTCTTTGAAAGATAATAAAACAGCAAATCTCTAGCTAGAATCACCAAGAAAAAGAGAAACACAAAAGCGTACAATTAATTGATGTATGCAGAGAAAATACTATAAAAGATTTAAATGTATTCTTCTACTTTGTTTTTTTCAACTTGTTTGGTTTTGTTTTATTGTTTCTGTGTATTTATGTATGTATGTATGTATGTATGTATGTATGTATGTATGTAT